AGTCATTCAATGAGGCAAACACTCTAGAAATTCCATGCCCTATTATGGGCATTTTTCATGGTTTCTATAAAAGGGAATCTTCCTTCGTCCCGCGTAACAAACCTAACTTTCGTCTGAATGAGTGCTTTTTAAAGTCTGTTTCTCTCCGTAATAGTGTAATTTCCGCTGGCGGTAAAGACTCTGATGCTTGCATGGGCTTTCTGACCCATCTCCTTAGTCTAAACACCCTATCCCAAGAACAAATCTCATGTGTCCAACTGAGGAAATGGCCTGTTTAAGGTTTTTTATTATAGCTTGATACCTCACAGTATTTTTGGTACTAGTATGGAATTTTCAGCATGTGATATCGGTAGCGCAAATTTTGCAGAATTAACAATTGACATCAGGTGTGCGTCTGTGGGGGATTGAATATCTGACCATTTGCATGGTCGGCGGATGTCCTAACCTCTCTGCCTCCAACGCATCGATGTCGAGTAGCGATTCCCATAGAACTACTTTTCGGCAATCCTGGGAATTTTACCTGATCTTTTGCCATCGAAGGTGTCATTAGTCTTTCTCAATACATGATTGGCGCAGCCAGGAGATGATACGACACCGAATAGATGAACGGTATATTCACACTAAGGATCTGTTTTTGTTAAATCAGCATCCTTCCATCTTAAGAGACGAAATCTTCTCTGGCTTTTGTCTTAAATCTCCTACTGTAAAAACATTGCTCTTACATCAGTGGCAGGCCCTTTGATACTGAATCGGTAGCATAAAAGTAATCTTATCAGTCTAGTGACAATGTTTGGCCCCTGTAGTAGCTGATAATTTAAAATGCACCAGTGTACCTAGTCGCACAGTCAAAAACTACTCGGAGCCTTTCACTTTCTGTCGGATTTGTAACTGGATAATGAGGTATAAACCATCCATTGTTTCCTGGTGAGCATATATTCCAGACAATTTACAATGGATCCTTTCGCTAAATCCTTGGCCATGACGTCTTTATATCCATTCGGTAAACCACAGTCTGTAGAAAGATACCTTCTGAGAAACTTAGGTCTATGATTCTCGACTCAGTAATTGTCTGGCAGATTGGGATAATCATACTTCCATGATGATCCTACCTCACAGTGACCCTTAACAAATCAGGATTATCGAGCAGTAATCTCCACCGCTCTTTTGTCCTCTTCAGAATGCTCCCCACTCAGACCGTCGGTGTCTTCTAAAGGATGATCATATAACCATTCCGGATTTAGACATGATGGAAAGGAAAACACAAAGAAAACAGCCCTACCATTATAAAGGACATCTCGGAAATCACTGAAATACTCCTCGGACCTTTAGGAATTGATGTCGCACACAAACCAAGAAAATCACTCGCCTCAGCTCTGTGTCAACCAAAAGACTTAACAACGAAAGAAGATAAAACCAACATCATCTACAAAACAAATTGTAACAACTGCGAAAAACGCTACAATGGCCAAAGTGGACGTCCCCTTCATATCCACGAACAAGCTAACCATGAAAAAACATGACATCTACTACCACATATCACTACATACGGACAACCACGGACCACAATTCGACTGGTACAACGTTCAGATATTAGACAGAGGAAATAACAAGAATGCTAGAGAATTTTTAGAAGCTTGGCGTTCAAGTAAATCATCAATCAATAGACACATCGAGATAGAGAAAATTTATCAACCGAAAAGAAAGAAACCTCACACACGCAAAGAAACTATCGGTTCCAATACAAGTAACCCAGAAGGTGTGAAAACATACAAAAACAACCAATCACGTCCAAGGTCACCAGGAGAGATGGTTAATAAACTCGTGGATAAATCGAAAAGCTCATTTCAAATCGAAGTATGGACTGAAGATGTTGCCTTGTAGGGCTATGAAAGCTTCACAAATAAACGATTGGGCTCAGAGAACACAGCTGTATTAAAAACTCTCGAAGAATGCTAAGGATTTCTCGGTTATCCATGATGTGGTAATGTATGCCGACTCACTGCTGTTTCGGCCCCAGTGTAATCCAACCAGAATTTGTTCTAACAGTACTCCGCTACTTCCCCCTTCCTCCGAACCGTTGTTCCAAAACTGAAAGTAAATCGGAGACATTACGGGCAACGAGGAGACCGACTGCGCAACCCAATGGCTTTCGAATGTTCGAACAGCCTTAACTGCTTGTCTGCTGGGTGTTATCCGTTAAGCGTCAGCAAGAAATGTGTCATTTTAGTTTACTTTTACTGAATGTTTCACCCAAAGAAAATGGTTCTACAACCACTCCAACAGTCATGCTGAGACTACATCCACCTGTGATTGTTAAGCCTCGAAGCATTTTCCCTAATGCTCTATCTCTTAACGGTCCTTTCTAAAACTAGAGACGCGTCTGATCCGCTGTTTAAAGGGGCGTACGTTGCCGGACGCCCTTTCGGGTCAAACAATTTCACAACAACTATGAGGAAATAGACACCTAAAATTTTTCTTGTGTCCAAAATCGCTACTGAACTCGAAGCCTTATCATAGTTCTTCAAATGTAGCAGGTTGTGATGATGCACCTGGCATCCATCCGCACTCCACATTTTTCATGGCAGACAACATCTTGCAATATGGTCTAATTTGAGGCAAACGTAAGAGAACATTTAGATTCCCGATGGTTTGTTTCCTCTCCTTGACACTCCTGTTCTTCGTTTTGAAACAGACCACTAGGCTACGAGAACCTCTACACAAAATGTTACATCTGAAACACTCTCAATCTGCCTTCTAATAGACCCTCGAACTAAACTGTCATGACGCATGGGATGCTGTTACCTGGTAGCCTTCTACAAACCAAAGTCCTAATCTCACAACTAACCATTACTCTTGTAATCATCCTGAGAGTTGTCGACTGTGGTTGTTAACTATGAAGTCAGTATAAACCATGTTACACCATTTACAACTTTAAGTAAACTTAATTTAGCCAATGCGTTGTGCCATTAACTTTTTAGTCACATTAATTGGAAGTTCACATTCTGTCAACGCAAGTCCGATGACGCTATGCACAACAACAGGGTATGATATATTGGTCAGCATTCGGTCATAGAGTAAACATATGCAATTTACGAGCCGGGAATCCACTATTGGCTCAATAAAGATTAACATGCAGCTACAAATGGAGGAAATGGCCGACTTTAGAGAACTGTCATCCTTCTGGAAAAATCAAAAATATCCGAATTTCTATGACTGATATTCATCCTCATGGAATAAAATTCACTTCTGATGGTTTTCCACGAATAAACTGTCAGGGAACTGATACAGATGAACTACTCACCTTGAATTAACATACCAACTGACTTTAATTTAAGAATAAGATTCGACGCCGTGCACAATTGGGCTACACAGGGAAGCCGATTTCGAGGTTTATTTTTCCCAGGTATTTGTGATCCATTCAACACAGACCTGGTGTTTTGTTGATGCGGAGGCAATATTTTTATATTTCCTAATTTGTTGCACTGACTGACTGGTTAGCAGACCGTTACACCAACTGACTCCTAAGTCAAAAAAAAACAAGAATGATGTAACTTCATCATCAACCACATTGATGTTATTTAGATAATACTTATCCTTGCCTGTATGGTTGGTGTTCCTAGGTAGACAGGAATGAATATAATTTGATTGAACTACATCCAGCGAAGCACATAAATGACTGCTCATATCAACAGCATCCACTTGTCTACAGCGCTCGCCTTCAAATGTTGAGTAGGCTTTGTCATCACATAATAATAACAAATCTCTCAAATAATTTGAAGAGGTACAGGATAGAAGACAACTAGGATATATGAAATAAAAATGATATCAGCAGTCCTGATGAGTAGTACAAAAGTAAACGGGAAACCAACATCAGAAGATTACATTTTCGTATGCTTTACGTTCATATCTACAGGATCGCCAGCAAGTTGAAATACATCTTTCAAACAGAAGTTACATAATTCATCACTCACTGGGCTTAAAATCTCTGCTAACCATGTTTCCAAATTATGTGTGGGGGGAAGACATGTTGATGGAATTTGTCGTGATGGGCTGTCAGCTTTACGAAATAGTTCGGGAGGAAGGTGCACACGGCATTGGCGGTCAACGGAAAATGATTTAGACATAAAGTTGTCATCAATCCTTCGAGATATGTCTAAACTGGGACTGCGAACTAACACACATAAAGAGTATATATCATCACTACTTTCATCTAATGTATGCTGTATTGATTTATCTTTCTTAGCCATATATGGCGTGCGATATACCTTGATCTTTGATGGATTATTGGTCAGTCGGTTGCTACAGGCCAGCTTGGCCTCCGGAGAGAAATGTTACTCAGGTGGATTAAGAGATTTGTAGATTATTCTACTACCAATGAAATGTTGCATCTGATCTCTTACATGGTATAATCGGCTGGGAAGAGCAATTGAGATATAAACAATACCAGCAAAGATTAGGAAACCAAAAAATAAAAAGACGGGGAAAAGAGAACGGTGAAAAGGAAAGCAAAGATAGATGAAGCAATCAATTTTACCGGGGTAGACAGCTGTAAGGGATGAAAAAGTAATGGAGGCATCTGGATTTGATCGAAGTACCAATTGAACGCGGTCTGTGCGTCGTCCCTTAAATTTTCCAATGAGCTTAGAGCTGTAATTTCCGAGGGTAATAGTAGTTTCCATCTTTGATGAACTTTTAAGTTTAATACCATCTGGGTTACGGAGATTTTCATAAAACGAATTGCTTGACAAACATATGTTGAGCGACAAGGTGATGTGAGCCATCATAATGAAGTTTTACTTAGTAACTTTCGAATCCAATCTCTGAGGATGAGGAAAAGTTTATATTAACATAGATAACTGAAAAGCGATGACGAGAAAAACTTAAAATAGTGTTAGAATAAAAATATACTAGGAGAATACCAAACGTGAATAAAGAATTATAATCCGCTAATACTGAATCCGGGAGTGATTGATATTATCATACATGAGCATTGTTTGTTTGAACATGTAGCTGTTTATGAGACGCGAGTGTAACAATTGAACTCTGATTGGGGGGATTTTCAATTGCATCATGTTTGGTTTTTAGTAGGATTTCGGTGAAATAAAGCATGCTTTGTGCTACTTGTCGGACAAACACTGTTTTCCTCTCGACCGACTTTATGTCTGGAAACCGAACGAAGGCTGGTAACACTGTCTATTAGTCGAAGTTCTAAGTTCAAATCCTGCTTCGCTTGTCTGGTGGCCCTGATCAATGGGCGATTCTGAAGGCAAAATATCTAACCATGTATCAAAACCAGACGTAAACAATGGTGTACACGGTTCGCATTCTGTTACTGGTAAGTTATGAACTTTCTCTAAACACATCTTGTAGCAGGGAAGTGTTCGTCGAAAGAGTCGAGTTCGGGTTTTATGCTGCTAAGTGTGAAACACTTGTCGAAAGTCAAACGGAGTAAACATGTATCTACAGCTGGCATGGGAAACGACCCGTTAGTCAGTAATCACGCAGAAATGCGCTCAACACTACCTCTGCCAATCCTCCCTCAAACAGACGTTTGTTTGGTGCCGCAGAGTTCTATGTGTGAGGACAATCTGCATGATACTTATGGTTCAGGCTCTATAGAAGCTGAGGAGTTTGAAGACTTTGATGATCAGGAGGATGATGCTGATCTAACTGGGGATGGGAATCCTACCAGGAATATGAATGTGGTTGGTCATAACTCTTTTAGTCATTTCGGTACGACTCTCCCAAATGAACCATCGAATGCTGCCAACTTTTGCCAGGTTAGTCCACTTTCACCAAGATTTTTTCAACATTGTGATTCGGAGTCTCACTAAGTCCCTATAAATTTGCCTACTTTAAAGACAGTGCGAACTGCATTGCATCGTAATTCCTGGGTGTCTCCAGGTTGGTTATATAATACGCTATTTAGCGTCCTAATGCTTTGTACTTTGATGTTTGTGATAATTACATCCGAACACTTGCAGTAGTAAAACCATTAACGTGGGATAACCATGTATTGCTACTTAGCTGAAAAAGTACTAAGGTAAGGCGGCAATATTGCATGATTACTTTGTGGGCATAGGAATAAGCCAAAGAGATTCAGGTCTAAATCGTACATGCTTCAGTTCTTTAGGCCATTACGTTTTGTAAATGGAAACTATGAGTCAATTATTAGTTTGCAACGTTACCGAGCCGTACTCTTAAATTAAGAAGCAGGCTCTTGTTGCGCATCTCTGTCTAACAGTAAGGTGTTTATTCCTGATTCATCAACATTCAGGTTTTATTTCGTTGTCATGGTGTAAATTATTTTCGTGGCATAATTATCTGCCATCGAAATTCCCTTAGTTTGATGTCGTTAGCAGTCCTCTTGACCTAAGGAATGCAAATCTTCGTCTAGTCGGTTGTCATTTTGCTCCGCCATTAAAATGAGTGGTTTATGAATTATCCATCTCATTCAGAATATTTTCACGTTCTCTAATATACCTCTGTTGCTTTACTCATATATGCTATTCATTTGGTTGTAGCTCCATTACCCTACTGTGACACAGACGTTCACAAAACCGCTAAATGGTCACTTCCAGTCGCCTGTATTTCCGGATAAAAAGTTCACATCTACCTGTAATGATGCCTACCAGCCAAAATATTCAGACCGTCTTTCCTCTCCTGTTCTAATGCCTTCTCTTAATCAATCCGGAAAATTGGATTATCTACAGCCTTTCCAAAGCAAATGCATTTACCCACCATGCCCTCAAAATTCATACTATCCAGGTTTTTTTAATTCTGACCACTCAGATGCCATTCCTTCAACAGGATCACCGCTTGAGCATGACAATCGTTGTATAGCACCAGAACAAAACCATTTAAATATTCATCATTTACTTGGTCGTCGGATAACTTCTGACTCTCACGATTGTACAGATATTTCTGATATATCTCCATCCAAGTTGGTATGTACTATGGCCAGTCATAATTACCCTGATCCACCTAATACTTCTTCAGATTGGATGAAACTATCAGGTGTATTGCATCCTACATATCATGTTGGTTTATCTCCTCGTTCGAGACACGGGAGTTTTACTCAGCCTGCAATAACATGCCTACACCATTCACATCCATCAACAACGTCAGACAATGCAGCATCAACTGCTTCTACAAACAACCACTTAACATCAGACGCTGTTGCTAAAGCAACGGCATCACTTCCACCACTGCAACCAGCTTCAAGATTTCGCAAGGCTCGTATACATGAAACCGTTGAACAATGGTCTTGTGGTCGACTTTCGGTACATGATTGTCACCTGAAGGCCGTTCCTGATTGGGTTAGTGAACTTCACAAAAAGTCTCTTGCTTGCGAAGACGCTATTTCAAACCTGTCGAATAGAAAAATAAAGTGTTTGTCCTGTTTCATACCTAAAACTGTTGGTGAGTTATGTTGGTTTGCTTCGTTTGCTTTTTATTTTTTACTAGACAATGCCATCTTATATATATATATATATATCATACAATGGTGGATTATTTCAAGGTTTTGGTCACTTGAGATGCGGTATTTTATTCATTTAAATAGAAAGTATTATATATGTTAAGTGACAGGGCCACTGTAGAGCTTTTCCGTGAAAATTTTTGTGTTAATGACTCGTATTTTGGTAACTAATACACAGGTTATTTACAGCTTTCGAATTTTGTTTGTTCAAGTGGAAATTTGCTCTGCTCACTGGTACTGGTCAGTGAACAAACACGTGGTGGATTACATACATGAAGTCTTCTGAAGTTTTGTTTTGAAGAGTAGGTGAAAAAGAAGAATGTTACGGTAGAAGCTGTAAAACATACGAGGTCAAAACACTTGAAAAATTGTGATGTAATAAGCTAGTAAATTGTTGGTGCACTTGAACTTATTTGGATCCTTTTGCTTAAAATGGCCAAGTAATCAAGCTATAATTCCACTCACAGTTTGTAACAATATCAATTAGTGGTATCCTTTAGTCTGACCACTCAGTGACATTTTTCAGCATGCTTCTGCTTCAGTCAGTAATGCTCTTTAGGGGAGGCGATGACAATGCAGATCATTCCCTAGTAAACATTGCATGTAGGAGTGTTTAGTAAGCATGTGAAGTGATTCAGTCTTCCCAAAATGGAAGTGTAAAATCCAGTCAGTGAAACCCAGTACCTACATATGTCATGCTGTTTTTATCATGTTTAGAGGGTGCGAAAGCGTCGATTCAGTACGAGAACCTTAAGACTATACTTAACTGCTGAGTAGAGTTCAAATAAAGGGTAACCCTAGTGAGGTGAAATTCCATTTAATTCATCCAGAATAGTTATTTCAACCTCTTAATTTCAACTTTGCAGTGACTGGTGCAAACGTTTTCCCTTTACATTTCGAACAAGCAGCTAAGGTAAACAGCCTATAGTTTGCAAATATATACATATCATTAAAAAGTTTTTTTCTTGGTACGCTGTCTGAACACCTGTTTTCTCAAATATTAATTTTTTGCTGAAAATAGTTCCGTGTTGTCAAGACATCAAAGTGTAAAGACATTTTACAGCCTCGTCATTCAGCGGATAAAATAACGCAAATATCCGCCACGTCTGTTGATGATTTTTCTGGAGACACTACTTGTTGAGAAATATCAAATATCACTTCCAGTTAATATTCTGTAACAGTAAAACAGACTCAGCACATTCCGAACAACTTTTTGCTTAACTTATTCCCATAATCTTTTTCGTAACCTTTTTTAATTCTAGATTTGTGTTTATTACTCTACAGAACTAATCAACTGGAAGTCTTTGTTTTCTATTAATTATAGGGGATTCAAGCACAACAATGTTTCCACGATCCACACAAGGTTTTGCACACCTCGGAGTTTCTGTTGACCATCACTCAGACCATATCCACCAAAAGTTAGGTATCCTTGAAAACGCGTTGGAAGCTCGGTCAATAATTTTGAGTCATGGCTCCCAAGGAAATAATTTGTTTTCCTTCTGGAATGATGGGCTTCGAGTGTGCAGTCAAATTCCTTCCTTTGCTCGTGTCCACGTGCGTAATTCGGAACCAAATTACGATGCATGTGATAATTGTGATTGTTCTATTCTAAACTCCGTTCATTCTGAATGTAAGATTAAGAGTACTTATGCGGAAAACAGTCATGACGGACATCACGGTGTGAACAACTTGTCGTCGAGAGAAAATGGTATTGAGGAAGACAGTACTGAACTTACAGACGGTTCATCGATTCTTCTAGGTTCTTCAGACCCGGCCACTGCATATTTGCGCCGAAAGCACATGGGGACAACAAGTTATGTGGAAAGCTTGTCGGTTGCTACGGATTCGAAACAACGTGATGATTCTGCAGCTACAACCTCACCTCAACAGCCTTTAAAAAATATATCTCCACTCCAGTCAGATTTCATTTACATGGACTCAAAAGAGGTATTGAATCATTCTGACGAACCGGGTTATGCTTCTAACCAAGAAATGTGTCTTCATGAAGTTTCAAGTGCACCTTCAAGTAATGTCCCTCCAGCTAGTCCTAGTGCGGCTGTCATTGTCACCAACACAGATCGAATCCCTGTAGGACTTCAAATGTCTTCAGAAATCTCCATGTCTAAGCTGCGTTTGCTAGATTTAGTATCTACTGATGAAAACAATTTGGGACCTAATTATGCGAACGTCAATCTTTTGGGTTCGAATGTGCAACGTCTGATAAATGAAGGTACCAGTACGGCAAACAAAGACAAGCTTAAAGATAATTCCAGGACAAACCACGTTTCCTCGGGAGATTTCCTCCTACATGCTTCACCGAGGAAAATTGATTTTCGCTTGCGATCCAGTGGTCGTCGTTCTAAGAGCTTTGACGATAGTTTCTGCGTCAACAGTCTGGATCGCATTAAAAGTAATAGGTTATACAACTCCGACATCGTTAGAAGGTTAGTGATTTTCATCTTTTAATATGCAATTTGATCATCTTAAATCAATTGGATCTGTGTGATATGAAGTAAACTATCGATTTTTGAGTTCTTACTTCCTTTGAATAATCGACTATTATTTTTAAGCCACATACAAGAAGTCTGGTTCACTGCTTTGAATTGTAACCTTTTTTGGCTATAAAATTTCACCACATAGGTCTTTATAAAACTATACATTGTTAGGTTTCAGGTGGCGTTACTGTCCTTCACCAGGTTTGGTTTATTTCCTTATCCATGTCTGTCTGTCTGTCTGTTTTCGACATAGAACTTTGCACAAATGTGCGGAAGTTCAAGTCGACACATTCCTTATCCATGAATATGCATAGGTAAAGTTTCATTTCATTCATTTTGGCTGCCTGGAACACATTATTATTATTGTTCTAGTTCACTGGTTTATACTCATTTCAGATGTTGGTTATATCATGTGAGTATGAAGTCACTTGAAGAAGTATGAAAAAAGTATCCATGCTACCTAGGTTATTGTGTAGTTTATAGCTGGTTAATCAGGAAAATAGTCGAAGCCAAGAATTTTGATAGCATTGATCCTACATTGAATTCAAATAGGCTACCAAATGACTACATAAAGATCTGTCACAAACCATTCACGTTATACTCACGCTTTTTTTATTCAACGTAATCATTTTTGATTCACATCCAATCTATAAACATCTCTTCAGTTCAGCTTTTCCCATATTTAGGTGTTCCGACCTAGTTTTATGTATTTCATTAGTGTACTTTTCTGACATGTAGGCATGATTACAATGATGAATGCGGTGTGTGTAACTGTAGTTCCGTTTATCGACAGAATCATGATGTGTCATTGAGTTGATGCATTTGGTTTCACTCCAGTGGAATGTAGTATTGGTCTCATACAGCAAGTTGCATTTCCAGAAACAGAAGTACATACCTTGTTTTTATTATTTTATTATGACTTTACTTGCCAATGTTCACATTTAGCTCCTCGAGATGTTATTTTGCGTCTGATTAAGTTTTCTATTTACTTAATTGTTAAAATGTGGTTTTATTGTATCATTACCCTTAGGACACGCGCACCTCTAACTGTGGAAGATGTTATTAGTACTGCATCACCCAAGGACCTCAAATTCCCCAGTGACTTTACCAGCGAAGTTGAATGTAACCGGAATTCTAGAACATCATCCTTTTTATCTGATCGTCTTGAAGCCCGTATACGCGCTAGCATGGTGAGGTGTATTTTTGATATATTGAATTTTTTCAACACTTGATCTTGATGTGTGTCATTCAATATGCATGTTAGACCGACTTTAGAACTACCAAACATAATTCTGCAGACCATTATCTTCATGCGCCTGAAGAGTACACTGAACATTTAAATGTGGAACCAAATTCTCTTAGCTTTAAAATTGACACCTTATTGTTCCAGCCATACTTTGTTTTCCGTTGTAGTAATAATTTTAAGAATTAGTGAGTGCATATTTCTATGATTTGTAACCACGCGGATCTAAGGAATCATAGCAAAATCTTAAAAAATCATATGAATATAACCATAGGTGTTCCTCACTTTGCTACAGCATAGAAAGAGGAGGTGAATAAAACGAAAGGATAAACAATAGCGTTAGTGAGAATTGAGCTGTCACTGAGGTGGTCAGATTTATCAACAGCTGCCTTTGTTCTGCATTGAAGATCAAATGGCCAAAAAGTATCAGCAACAAGAAACTATGGAAACAAACTAACCGAGGACCTACCACTCAACAGATATGTAGGAGAAAATGGAAATGGAATGAGCGCACACTGAGAAGACCGTTGACTGACATCGCACGCCAAGGCATCGCTCGGGTGGAGTCCGGATGCGAAATGGTGAGTGCAGTGTTCCAGAGCGGCATGGTGGAGATCGCGCGAAGAGCAGATTTGAGATTATGGTGAATTGTGGACCCAGCTGAAGAGGACCACAGAAAATAGAACAAAGTGGAGAGATATTGTCGAAGGCGTGTTCTACTCGGAATCCAAGGGAACAGTAAGACCGTCATATAGACAAGTGAGCGTAAAAGCGTTCACAGAATCGCATCATTTCAAGTTACTGCTACCTGAAAGATGCACAACCGCATTGGGGGAGGGTGTCACAAGTAGTTGTTGAGTAACGTTTTCACCTTTTCATTTGTGCACTCTAGTAAAGTATAATCCCATATTATAATGATTTTAGTCTGATATAAGACGTACGCACTATTAATTATGCACTGTTCCGAAGACTGAGGAGTGAGCACATCCACCCTATGAATGATTTTCAGTTTTTTCACTGAAAACTTCCAATTGTTGATTATTAGTATCTCAAGGAGAAATCTTATATGGATGAAAACAGTAGTCATGAATTTCGGGGATTTGCGTCATATTTTGACCCCTATTAACTCATCTCCAACTTGTTAATAAAGTAAGGCTGTTCCTTGACATTCGTTACATGTTCTAGCCACTGTAGATAGTAAAGACGTATTACCATATCAGTTAACTTTATCTGGCACTATATCTCTGACCTCAAAACAAATTATTATGTTCTACAGTAGTTGAGCACATATTTCTGTCGCTTTTCATGTCTTTACTTTTGATGACTTAAGGGGAGATCTGCTTATTAGTTAATTTAGTTAATTAAACTGTGAACGATGATTGTCGTCCTAAGATCCTGTAGTATGCAAGTTTGTCGTTTAGTTATCGGTAGATTAAAAGCTAAACCATAATGAAGTAAGTATGAGTGTAGGTTTATGTTAGAAGTGCTCATTCTAGTGTTTCTTTGAATTCTGTTCGACATCCTGCAGAATACTGGGCTGCGTTTAGTATACAATCTAGACAATAAAAACGCCCTTAGATACTTCATTGCTCTCTGGCTTTTCCGCTTCAGAAATGTGTGGTCATTTTCTCAAGGGCTGATATTTTGGTACCCAAAAAGTATGTAGACTGTTTTTAGGAGATTACTCAGTATTACTTGTTAAATTTCATACAGTAATCAGTCAAACCTTTGTGGTTGTTGATCAGTAACTGTAATTAAGTGAAGTTTTTACGTTATCCTTTCAGTCAACATCCCAAAGCTCTTACTGCTCTGAATTGGAGGAATTTTAACGTCTATATGCAACATTTCTTTATATGATTCACTCTGAACACTATGTTTCACTCTTATGGGAAGAGCGTTCTAGCATAAGTTGTGAATCTCTTGCCGTTTAGGATCATTTGAAAATAAGGGGATTCTTGTTTTCTACAAGGCAATACTAGAGCATCCGATAAATATTGTGTAAAGACCAGCTTTCCCAATTAGACCTACTCGTTTTTTATAAATAGCCTCTTGATTTTTTGTTTGTAAACGGATGGTATGGAAAATTAAGGTTTATTATTATTTTATTTTTCACTTTTTCAGGAAGCCATTAGATCTACGTTGGTAAATAGTTTTCGTGACGAATTGGCAACTGTACTTGCAGAAAATGTTAATCTGCGTTCAGAAATAACTCGATTGAATTCCGAATTGACACTTCTTCGAAGCTATCAGCATGCCTTTTTTGCTATTCGACCTTTCGTCCCACCTAGTTTGTGGGAAAATATCTGTGTTCAGCAAGGTTTACCTGTATCACCCCTCATGAATGGTGCTGATTGTCAGTCATCTTGTGATCCACAAGTTTCTCGGTAAAACGCTAACAAACAGGTTATATCATTGTTTTGCGTTACTACCGGTTAATCAGTCGGTGAGATTTTTCAAACACTCATCGATCAACGTGTGCAATAGTTCCTCTTGAGACTTCGTTCTCAAAATTCTTATCTCGTCACTACCGGCAACATGTAGTAATAATTCACCTACTTTATCTTTTCCCCTTTTGCAAGATTCTTCACACTTTTACCGTTCTTATTTTCACGGCTTGTTTATTTTCGTTTCCTGTCGTTTCACTGAACATGAGAGATTTGTGTATGTATTTGATTGTTTAACAAAATAACTACTAATAGCCCTGTAACCTTGGATTTCTCTTGCTGTATTCTCTCTGTATGTATGTTCACCAGGCTCTTTCATTCCCACCATACAGTCGGTTGGTGTCATCTCTTAAGTTCAGGCTGTTTGGACGAGAATTATTCACTCACCAAAAGTTTTATTAGGCCTATTAACGATGTATGTCTGAACTGTGATTACAGGAAGCTTTTTGTGATGTTTCCGTGTCTGTACAAAAATTAGCTTGTATAAAGTTATGTAAAGTATCTTTTTCTTTCTCATTGTAACATCTATTTGTTTTTCTTCTTGTTCACTTAATAGAAAATGTTAGAATAATATGCAATCTTTATTCATAATATAATTTCTTTGACAAAACCAAATACACAAGGTTTCTTATTCCACACTTATTGGCATTGTCTTCTGTTAGCAAACTTTTATATGAACCTTTTTGTTTGTCTCTCTTTGTTATTTTTCATTCCTGGTGATGTCAATTTTTCAATCATTTTGATTATATATATATATATATATATATATTTTCATCTCAATTCGTTTGTGAATTGCGTTGGTACATCGGTCTCTATGAAATATTACATACATTCCTTAAATGATTGGACTCATAACTTAACTCTCTAAAATTTGGTTGTTATCTCTGTCTAAACAGTTATGCATTTATGCCTATAAAAGGATGTTATCACTGTTGAATTTTTCAAACTGTTTGCTGGTATTTCACTTTTATTGTTAAAAAGAGTGGTCAGTTCTCTCTTGCTGCTTTAGCTTCATGTTTTATGTTATTTTTTGGTATCAGTCAAACTTTATGTATTCTACAATTTGTAGGTCATCTTCTGTAGAAATTGATTATTGATTGATATCATGCACTAGTCCTTTCCTTTTTTTTATCACTAAAATTCGTTGTAAATAACTTTTGCATTGTCTGTGATGAATACACTGTACATGCGCACAAAATTGTAAACTGTGTAGTGTCAACATGGTAAACCTTCAGTTCACCTTTAACCTTTGTAAGCCTTTTTTCTTTAGCAGCACATTTATGCTTTAGTCAACGTTTTTAACTCGTTGACTCCAAAAAATATCTATGTCTACCAGTTGTGTTACGGACACATGATTCTTCACATAGGTCTGTTAACAGTAGCCAATCCCTTTTGTACTCCTGAACAGAAAACAAGTTCCTACAAATGGACGCAGGTGGTTTGCAGTATTATGAAGATTTAGCATAATTCAGTACTGGATGCTTCCGCGTCAAACTGAAAGTTGAAATAGGTAGTAAATATGTACGTCAAAGAATTAAACCTGCATAAGCTATGTAAGCTTAGAATTGAGTTATGGATGTTGACTACTGTACTGCTGTTAACTGAATTTATGGTTTTCATAGCTGCAGAATAGTTAATTTTAGAATGCACCGATACCTGTTAAGGTTAACTGTCAGGATGATTATGACTAAGAAGGATTGCGATTGACTTCAGAAAAGTAATACAATCAAGTAACAATGTATTCATTTCATTACTAAGCCTGTGTAATCTCGTATTGGCTTGGTGTGATGATACCATTCATGGTGTTAGACAAGTTGGTGATTACCAAGTGACAGTCGCGCGAAAAATGTAGAACGATTACGAGACGGTGTATAGACGAATAAGGCGAAAATGAAAAGGATGCCTTTTTAATCTACATAGTGAATAAGTTTAGCGGTAATTTCAGTCCACTGGGGACATGCAATGTGAGTTAAATCATCTTTAGATTATATTTGCCTCTTGGAATTTTGTCTCAAGTACCCTTGATTTAGATTTAACATATGGTTCAATTAGTAGAACAATTCTAAGCCTTAAAATATAATCGTGTTACAAGATTTTATGTTTCTCTTGTAAGGACTAGGGAAGTTCAGTTTGATTAATTTGCGGAGATTTAGTGAGTAGTCTAGTGTATTACAGTTCTCATGCACTACTCTGGATTATTCTACGATTTTGTTTCTGACTAAACCAATTTAATGGTTATCCCTTCAAAATCCATATTCGAAAAGTGTGTATCCTCCTGTTGGTGCATTCTGATCACACTTTCCTCATTGCTTCTCGTTTAAAATAGTCTCCCTTTCTCTATTTGTAAATAAGTGGTAATCACTCACTGTGCACTGCACCGTTGAATAAATTTATCTAGTGCGGAATCATACTGTACTAGGATTCTGCTTTCACATTTGGTGATATCATGTACTGTGCGAACGGACTGCACTGCTGTAAAGCAAAAGACTTGCTTTTTGTCCTAGTCAAGATGAACATTTAATGGTAAGTGTGAGTACATTTTTAGTGATGCAATGTAACTTTGAGCAAACATAGTGTGTTACGAGTAGATTGATATGTCAAGCAACCTCTATTTCAAATGCTGGACAGTAAAAACTCGCTTGAGTTCTATATGATTCTGGTCTGGTAATATTGCGTCACCTATGTGGTGTGTAGCCTTATTTAAATGGAATCATGATTTATGGTACAAGCCGTAATGACGAATGAAATCCAGAAACACTCATCGTTTGAATGACATCCAGATTACAGCACTGCATGTTATACTGTGCCTTAAAAATTGTTTTTTTTTATTTACATTTTTACGTTCCCAGTGGAACATGGGACTCGAAGCTACAGACCTGAAGTTTCAGTAGCAGTGGTGTTTATTTTTAAGGGATATGGTTGCTAGCCTCATGCCTAACCTTCCTCCTTCACCAGTCTTATTCCTGGCTTAGCGAGGTAAAGCAGTGCATTGGCTAGGGATTGAACCCCGAACCACATGTGTGGTTGGCGAGCATTCTGCAACTGCCACCGACGCACTTAACAAATTGGTACTGATCTTCATTTGAAATTATAATCCCGAATGCTAGTGGCGAAATGATGTGCCAACTATTTGTTTGGAGTTGTGTAGATGATAAAATCCATTGTGGATTAAATGAATTTCCTTGCTCATCTATGTTAATATTTATACCTATCGACACCAATATGTCTAAGTGAAATAATTGACCGTATGAGCCAAATGATAACTTTTATTTCATACTTGTTATTTCATGACATATAGTTACGGAGGTTTTTTCACTATATTATCTACTAAAGTCTAACGACTTCAATAAATGAACTTTTTGAAACCTATAGAGCAGCAGAGACTATTAAACTAAGGCTGTTGGAGAATGTCCAAATAAAACTGAAAGACTGTATTTATTCCTACCTGTAGTTTTCTTCTTTTCTGTAGTTCACCTTAACTGAGTTGATTAAACTTAAGGTTTCCTGAATTAGTACCTAGATATCCCCATGAGTTTCACTTCAGTGTTATTTGTTTGGTTAACAATGGAATACATAACACGCGTTTCGTCTATATAAAATTTAGTAATGTGAGATCATCGAAATTCGATAGTTTATTTCTTGAAAAAAGGTAAGCCTCATTGCATGAATCATTACAGGTAGCTATGACAACTGGAATTACGTGTTTGGCTGGCTATCATCTGCTTCATTTTTAGGGAGGTGGGGAGTCATGGAAACGGGACTAGGATTCCTTGCACCGTATATGGCAATTTTCGTAACAACAGTTGTTAGGAGAATGCGTTGGTAATTTTAAAGACTGAAACCAGCCGATTGAGTTGACTAGGCATTTGCCTGAGACATGCATTCCTTAACAATTCTTCAGCTTTCTGTTAGTCAATAAATGTAACATGATTGGTAAGAGGTGGCTTCAAGACGATCGTATACCTTAGATACTGGGTCATCCAAAATGTTTGGAACATCCTCGATAATATCTTCAGGCAAACTTACAATAACTAACTTTAACCTAACTTCTTATGAGTGGCTACTTTGGGGTAACCTGTGAGGAAGTGAACTAGACACCTAGAAGGTGGCGAACTGAAAAATTACTTCCATCTACTCATAAGAGTCGTTATTATCAGCTATTGATGAAAGGTGGGATGTAGTAGAACATAATTACAAAACACTATTATGAAGATATCAAAAGATGAATGAAAGCAAACGTTTTTGTGCCTAAGTAAACAATTGGAGAGATTAATTTCAGAAAAAGGATTGAGGACTAGATACAGCAGTGGAGTAATACTCAGGCAGAGCACTATTGTAGGACTGGATGTGTTGTTAGTACGCAAGCTGACCACTCTCACTGAAACCTACATACACTCGTATCCACTTATTAAGTAGCTTGTCTAACTGACAATAAAACACAAATCAAAATCCAATTTGTCGTGAATTGGCAGAAGTTAGAATTCAAGGATCATTGGATCGGGTTCAGTGGCTTAATGGTATACGAGCTCGCCTTGTAACCGGAAGGTCCTGGGTTCGAATCCCGGTGGGTGCGTACTGCTGAAGAGTCCCAAACTAGGACGAAACAGCTGTCCAGTACTCCCAGCTGGTTTTCCAATGGTTCTCTAACTAATGTCAGCTCATGATGAAATCCTCAGACCAATCAAATCCCTACAAACCAACACTTGAATACAAAATCCAATTTATTTAGGAGTATAGTTTCAGCAGTAATGTATATATAGGCAGGCTAAAGGGATTTTAATGAAAAGTCTAATCAACTTATCTAACTAATAATAGCTGGGCTGGGGACTTTGTTAGCATGCTTGTTAATCAGCACAAAATGACATTGTGCCCTGCCTAGTTATATGCTTATCAAAACAAAATTTATACCGCCTTAGGGTATTCGGAGTCAGCCTAAGAGTTTATTTAGTAATCTGAATTTGATCTGCCTACCTTAGCTGAGGTTTTATTTGGGAGTGAATAATTGATTGAATCTATTTGTCTACAAAGTGTACATTTCGTTTTCAAGAGATATTTTGAATAAGTTAGATGTACAAAAAACTAGCAAGTGAAAATGCCTGCTGTTGTAAAAACGTTGTATTTTTTGAAATATTAAACCATGAGCTTTTGGATTTGCTGGAATACAATCAACAAACTGAAAAAAAGAACATAAGAAATTCACTAAAACCAAATGTTTTTATCAACTTTTTTAATATTCTCTTAGCATATAAGATACAAAAAAAATTTAGTGAATGGCATTGTAGCTGTAAGTAAGTGTTAATGAATTCGACAGAACAGGTTTTAGACGAAATATACATTTTTACAGTATTGTATTGGATCAGAGTTCCATGGCTGAATCTGAAACAAGCTTACATATGCATGGATATGTACAGCTTTTTACGATGAAAAAAAGGTATCAGTTTCAAGCTTGCTGATTAAACATTCTAAGGTGTTCCCCCCCTCCCTATTCATATGATAATTTGAGACAACACCTCATGGCACACAGCATAACTTGTAAAGAAATACAAGGTGAATGGAAACAATTCGTTTCATAAAGTACTGGGTACAAAAGGCATATCAATGAACCAAGTTTATTTACTATTGTTTTGTTACTATGGGTAACAAATACATTTTTCTCATCTTAATAATATTAATATAATATATGTATACCTGATCAATGAGATTTCAACGTTTACTTTGATTATAAAGTATCACATATACTATAAACATTTCTTCAGGTTAATCTCAC